GTTCTTGCCAGAAAACGACTGGGTGTTTTTTGTTTGTTTTTTTACACTTGGGCTGTTTTTAAAAGCAGTAGAGACTCAAATGGAAATATAAAATTGTGCAAAAATAGAATTTTGAATAATAGGTCCCCTTAAGGTGTCGGACATTAGAAACAAATGGGCCGGTGGTTTGGATTATACCAGTTTGTCGAATTTATCATAAGCAGTGACATTTGTCTGTGTTCCAATCAATGGACTTTCTTATGTGACGTCAGAAACGTCAACCTAACGGTACCGTACCATCATCCTACAGACCCAGGTATGGTGCGGTATAGGTTGGTTGTTTATGGGTCGTTTCTACAATAGAAACAGTTAACGAACTGAACTGACCCATGCCGTACCGCTCAGTGGAAACGAGGCACAGGAGAGCATCAATGACTCAGGCAGCAGGTCCCAACAGAACCCAGATCAGCATCCCAACTAATGAAGGCATCACTTGCCTCAGTTAAGGTCAGAGCTAATGATCCAAAAGAAAGGGCAAAATGGTCTTAAAGGAAGAAAATAAAACATTGATGATAAAAAAACATGAAAGCCTGTCTCACATCAAAAAACATTTCGATAACCGAAACGTTTGGGAACATAATTTATAACTTGGACTGTGATTCTGACGTTTTACCGTATTAATGCTGCCTTGAGGAAAATAACAAGGGTTTGGACTTGCCTAGTCAAAGTCTGGACTAAAATCTGATTCAGATGCTGAGAAGCAACCCGAAACATGCCAGGTTTTGAAATTACTTCACTCCAAAGGTTGCTACTTTTTAACAGAGGCCCAGGTCATTTTGGAAGATTTTCCCCATAAAAACGTAATCAACATTTAAATACTATTTTTAATACTTACTCACGTTATATTTGATCAAAATGTCTAATAATCTGAAATGTTTAAACTACAACTAAGAGCTACATTTTTCCAATGTATCATTTTGCTAACTGTTAGAGTTAGCAAAATAACTAACCAACAGCTGCTAACAGCTAGCCAAGCTGCTAACAACAACCTAATTCTTCAGAGGTTTGGAGTAAATCTCATCCAAGAGCAACACTGAAGTGTGAAAAACTACAATTACCTTCAACAGAAATTCATTGTCTTCACATTTCACGCTGCTGTGTTCAGTTATCCATGTTCATTTTAATTCCTGCTTAGTTTAATATGCAGTGTTTCACACTCATCTGTCCTCTCTTCTTCCTGCTGTCTGCTAACAAAACACTGACACATTTCTATCTGCAGCCGTCTTTCCTTACTGAACAATCTTTGCTTTCAGGGTCTCACGCCGCTCTGATGCTCACTCTCTGATCATGCACATAAACACAAACTCTCTCCTGCGATCAGATCTCTGCAGAGCCGTGTGCCTCTCTGAACCTACGTGGGCTGGTTGGCTTATATAACTCAGCTGACTTCAGTTGAGGTGAACACGCCAGCTGCAGTCAATGCGTGTGTGTGATGGTGTGAAAAAGCCTCATCAGTGTGTGCCGATGGCTCTCGGTGTCTCTCCAAATGACTGGACTGTTGCATGTGTTTATCAGGACATGTTCATCTGTCGATGTTCCTTCTGCACTTCCAGACACGCAGCTGATGCCAGTCATGTGTGGTGGGACAGTGTTTCTGTAAAATTGCTGCCTTTAAACGTCTCAAATGTACTTTAAAACGCCTCGTTTCTGAAATGTGCTGTACAAATAAAATTTGATTGATTGATTGATCTCAAGTGACAGTTTGCTAGTATTTCATCTACAGCAGCAAGAGCTCAGTGTGAGAATCAGTGAAAAACTTAATGAAGTACTCAAGCTAACTGGTTTGAGTGAAGTACACAGAGTGTAGCCAAGCTAACAGATATAAATGGTAAAGCTAACAGCTATCCATAATCAAGCAGGCAGTAATTCATAATCACACATAGCCAAGCTAATATATATCAACAGTAAAGCTAATAGCTATCAACAGTCAAGTTATGTATTGACTGACTGATAGTCAAGCTAAAAACTATCCATAATCAAACCAGCCACTGCCTATAGCTAAGCTAACAGTTATAGTCAATACATAGTCAAACTAACCATTAGCTGTAAAGCTAACAGCTATCCAAAGCTAAGCTAACAGCTATAAATAGTCAAGTTAACAACAATCCATAATCAAACTAGCCACTACCCACAGAAAAGCTAACAGCTTTACATAGTCAAGCTAGCAATAATTCATAGTCAAACTAACCACGACTCATAGCAAAGCTAACAGGTAGCTATAGTCAAGCTAACTATCATCTAGAGTCAAATTAATCACTAGTCATTATAAAGCTACCTATAGCAAAGCTAACAGCTATTCATAGTCAAGCTAATAGCTATCCATAGTAAAGCTAACAGCTATCCATTGCCGAGCTATGGATTGACTGACAGTGAAGCTAAAAACTATCCATCATCAAACTATCCACTATCCACAGAAAAGCTAACAGCTATGCTTAGTCAAGTTAGTAATAATTCACAGTCAGATTAACCACGACTCATAGCAAAGCTAACAGGTAGCCATAGTCAAGCTAACTACTATCTAGAGTCAAACTAATCACTAGTCATTATAAAGCTACCTATAGCAAAGCTAGCAGCTATTCATAGTAAAGCTAATGGCTACAACAGCCAAGTTAACCATAGCCAATATAACAGCTATCCATAGTCAGCAAACAGCCACTAATATTCATGGTTATAATCAAAGGTTTGCATGAATCAGATTAAAAATAAAAAAGAACAGTTGATTGTTCAAGAGAGTACACCAAGTTTAAGTTAAACACTAACTGACATCAGAGAAATTAGAGCCTTACATAAAAAGCTTTATCTTGTAAAAATGTCTTATATAGTGTTCGGCTGAACTGCAAGAAAAGATTTGACCTGATAGAAATTTACCCATGAACTGTCTCTGATTTGAGTTGTTGAGTCCTTCATCAGAATTTCTCTTTCTGAACTGTGATCAGTTTCAAGTAAGATACTGACAGCGTACAAATACCCTAAAGAACCCCAAATCAAGCCTTTTGTCATTAAATAAGTCCTGAAAATATAATCCTGCCACCAAAAAACAAAGAAATCACCATCAACAAATGAAACTGAAAATTAAATGCTAAAGAAAAGTTACATAAACATATTTATCTGTATTTGTATCTTATGAACGGGGAAAACATTAATCTAATCAGCCAAGAACCTTTTATTTCCACTCGGTGCTGTTGGGTCGGTACAACCTGACCAGGCTCCTGCCAGAGGCTCTTTAGGAGGTTAATCGTTCAGCAATTTATTATTTTTTTTCTGCTGTAGCATTTATCAGGGCTGCTAACCATAATTGCTTTCTTTCTGATTAACTGCAGGTGTAAATCAAAATAATCTGTTTTCAATCAAATAAATCGTCTCAGTCACTGTAATCAAAATAAAAAGAGCCGCAACAGCAGTTCAGTCTGGATAATCAGAGCCCAATTAATCAAGACGCTGCAAGAAGCATAAATATTGTTTTTAGGCTAATTAGAGCTAGCAAAGGAAGATTTACACAAGCATAAAACTTCCTTTTAAATCTTTTTTACCCTCTATTTTGACTAGTATTAATGAATTTCCATAAAACATTTCTAAATTTGGTTTTAACTTTCAAGCATTGCAGGTTTCCACTTATTTGTCTTGCAGTTTTTCTCTGCGGCTGCAAGTCGATCATCATCCAGCATTTTGTGTTGCTTTCTAATATTTTCTTCGGCTCAACTTTTCTCATTAAATAACTGTCGCTGCTGATACAACACGCTGAATATAACATGATTTATGATTCTGGGTTGATTGTTTGGAAATGTGACCTCCTTGGATTACGCACACTGTTTCATAACGGCCTCGGCGGCAGCTCATAATTCATATATTATGGTTGTAAATGAAGGCTGCTGTGGAAAAACCAGACACCGCTCTGCTGGAAAAGTTGTTTCTTTAGTTTTTTTTTATTTTACTACGGGGATAGAAAAACAACAATTTGGTGTTTAAATGCTGAGTGTCAAACTGATTTTCATTTTGGGCCATCAAGATTGATAAAAATCATTAACAACCGTCATAGCCGTCTCTGCATTTGATACATACTTCGTAAAATTGAATAATGATCTGATCAATCTCTCCGGGGTTTTGCGATTATTTTTGTAATCAAAATCACAAATTCAGAAATATTTGCAAGAGATTTTGCAATATTTGCGTATGTATGACGTCAAATGCGACGTTTTGCTTCTCACCATGCTGATAACTTGGTATCAAGTAAGGCTGAGGCAGCAGTGTCGTAAAAGTAGGAAATACTGCCACCAGCAGGTGGGAGTCTGCGATAACTGAAACCCAATGTCTGACCGTTTTTGTGGAAAATTGGCAATAAACTCACAATTACAAATTAGCACAAAAATGTGAGTTGCAATAAACTGGAAAGACTGAATGATGTAACTTGACATGACTATTTATAACGTAAATTCATAAAATAATAGTAAAAAGAGATAAAATGAGCAAATGACAGTAACTCAAAGAAGCAAAACAAGTATTTATAATCTTGTGTTGGACAATACATCAATAGCAAAATATATATGTGATAAACATGTGATCAATATCAGAAGTATCAATAATATGTCTGATAGAAAATGAAGTAATTTCACTGAACTCCGATCCAGAACCGCACAGAGGCAGAGAAAAGGTTTTAGCCTCTCCATCTCACTAAGCTAGCTTGGTGGAATCAACTGACTCACTCATTCTTTGGTTACCTAGCAACTCACTCATTCTTTGGTTACCTAGCAACAGCCTGCGAAGTAACTGGCAAAGCAGCAGTTTAAGGTTTTGCCTTATAACTGCGTAGAAATAAAATAACGACAAAATGGAGTGAAAACCGGATAAAACATTAAATGTCAATTCACTAATTTGGCAGGATTTCAGATATTTGAAACAAAAAAAACGAATCAATAATTATTGATATGAAGCGATTTGAAACGCTGTAACTTTGTGATTCTCACCGTGAACTCTCGCAGGTTTTCGCATTTGTGCGAGGCCTCTCCGGGCGGCTGGCCTCTCCTGCACAGCTTGTTGTGGAGCCACATCAGGAGGTACCAGAAGGACTTTGGGCTGGGGATGATGTTGAAGGGAGGGGGCAGCGTGCCGCCCTCGTCGAAGTAGCTCATCCACAGCTTGGTGCGGGCAAACTTCCACTCAATGTCGGCGTGGTCCTGCAAAACCAGGAGAAAACTCTTCAATCTGGAAGATCTTTACATGTCTTCAGGTTCAAACAGTGACAGGAGCTGCGTTTCCGTTGACCAGTTGAGCAATTTGACATTTCGAAAATAAATTTGCTTAATGGAAACACGGTAATTAAAAAAAACAAAAAAAAAAAAACTAAATGTTGATAAAAGTGAGGCGGTCGTCTTTCCCGTATCAAATTGGTTTATTTGGCAAAACTACAATGGAAACACTTTTTTTTCCCCCCACATCGTCACATAATCAACAACCAGATGTTACTACTGCTGGAAACGACGAAGAAGAAGGCAACAGGAAGTAGTAGGAAAATGATGGTGGAGTATATGTTTTTTAGTGATTTGTTGTGTGAGTTTCTTATTTAATGAAAACAACCACAACTGAGTTGCCTCAAAATCAAAAATGTCAACAGCGGTAAAGGAGCCCAGGTAAGATCCCAGAACCAATCTAATATTTTATTGCAAGTGTGAGTACACGAAAAAAAACCCATAAAATCTTATCATGTATATCTATCTGTCTAGTTCTGGTGCAAATATCTAAGAACATTACAAATAAGACAAAAATAACTTACACGTTACTTTTCAGCATATTATTTTACTTAAAACCATGAAACTAGCACTTATTAATGTATATTAAGGAATTATTGAGTTGTATATCTTGCTGAAAATTAACTTGTTAGTTAGTTTTGTCTTACTCCAAGATGTTTACACTAAAAACTAGACAAGAATATTTGATAAGATGTTGCGTTTTTGCAGTGTTTGGCCTCCAGCTGAAAAACACAATAAACCATTTAGAAGTAATTATTAAACATTTGTGGACACTGTGACCTCTGTTTAGTCATGTTCCTGACTAGAGGAGCTGCAATCGCTTCAGGTTGTAACTCACAGCGATGAGTTGGTAGGAGTTGTTCATCATGGCGATGAGCATGTTCAGCAGAACCACCAGAGAGATGACGTTGTACGTCCCGAACATCGTCGCCCCGACGAACTCGGTGAACTCGTGCCGAGCTTTCACGTTGGTGACGTAAAGGTTGAGCAGCCCAAATATGGACCAGAAGAGCGACTGGAGAGTCTCAAACAACCTGGAAGGGAACAGAAAGACGACAATTAATGTGACATTAACATAAAGATCTGCAGAGAAACTAAGAGGATGAACCATAAATAACACCTTGGTTAGTCAAATGTCCACAACTCTGAGCTCTCACAGGGTTTTTATTAAAGTAAAACAATAATAAATGGTCAAAACATGACATTCAAAGCTGCGACACCATCTTTATCTGAAAAGGATTTTTGAGAATTTTTAAAATTTAAACAGTCATCTTTAGAAATTATGAGAAATAAAGCTTGTAAACAATGCTTTTCCATATTTTATTCCATTTCTGAAGGCAAAATAAGTAAAAATACAGAATATTCCTGTGCACTTCTGTACTCTGCACATTGTATGAACTACAAATATTGTGCAGATTATTTTATTAATCAGCTTTTAATTTAGTTTATTAAACCTGGCTATTAATGGGAACCGTTTTGAAAGAAAGCGACCCAAAAGAATTTGAAAACTGGACGTCTTTGGTCTAGTTTCTAGTGGATATATTTTATTTAGAAAAAACTAACTTAAAAGTAACTTATCAAGATACAGAAGCTTGTTTTAAGTAACTAATTCCTTAATATTAAAGTGCGGATAAATTTCCCCAAGTTATAAGTGAAACAATCTGCCAATAGTTCCTTTTCATCAATATTAAGGAATTATTTACTTAAAACAAGCTCCTACATCTTGATAAGTTACTTTTAAGTTAGTTTTGTCTTAATTCAAGTGAACTGAAATATTTTGTGTTTTTGCAGTGAACAAACAGGGAAAATTCATTTTAAGGTTTGGATCATTGAATGACGTCCTTTTCCTATAAAAAAAAAACAAATAATCCAAATAATAAAAAGAAAATTTGGCTTTGTTATTTTCTTGATTCGATAATTTTGATAAAAAGTTTGGACACCAAAACAATCTGAACATCCTCGCCTAAAACCTCCCGGCCTGTTAAACCAAGAAGCTCGATAAGTCGCTTTATTGAGATACAAAAGTAGAAAATTTGCTGATCTCGACTCAGAGGCAGCTCCATATTTCCATATTTCCATATTTCCATGTCTTCCTCCTGCTTTCTGAGTTGTTGTCGTTTTTCCCTCCCTGATCTCTTTCTCCATCCTTCATCTTTCCTCGCTTCTCTCTGTCCCCTGCTTGCCTTCGCGTGTCTCTTTGTGCCGCCGTCACCGTTACAACTGCGGCTGCTGAATTTTTGATGAAGCAACAATTGGCGGCGCTCGACGCTACATCAAGAGAACGACACAGACGGGGGGGAGGGGTTTCTATATTTATGCTGCATAAAATATTCAGGGATGCAGCGTTTATTCTGGTTGTGGTGAACGGCAGGATTGTTGCGCTGCAGGAACATTTGATCAGTCGGTGCGCAGGCTGTTTTTCTCCCTCAGAGCATCATCTGAGTGATGTGGAGGTGAAATCTGTAAGTCACAGAGGTGAGAGGCTGGGTGTGTTGAGTAAGCGAGGAGAGAAACGGAGGGAGAAAAGATGGGAATTAAATCAACGGCGAACGAAGCAGCCGAGCGTGATATTGTGTGGGTTATGACACGGGAAAGATGGGAGGACGAGAAGAGAAAGGGATGAAACTCCATCATTTTATGTTTCATTATTTCAATTATTCCCCACTTTTCGCCTCGTGGTGCCGTTCATAGACATTTCACAGCAGATAGCCACCGCCTGGTTCAGGCAGTCAAACTGACTGTCAGTCAAATTCAGGCATCAGTTTGAGTCCGATTATGATTCAGGTGTTTTGTTTTCTTCGTTTCAGCTCATCCTACAGGTTTTCCATACGATCCAGGTTTGATTTTTATCATATCAACAATTTCTGTGTTAATTTGGAAATATATTTGGACTAATGTATGCTTTCTAGAGGAAGTAAACAGGTTTATCGTCATATTTCAAATGCCAAACACTCTCAACGAGGCTCCAAGGGTTTTTGGAAGAGAAGCAAACTTTCACCATAGCCGACTGCGAGGATCAGGTGATTTTTAACATATTCATTGTTTCCTTTACACCAGATCAACCTGGTAAATATCAAGATATATTTATACATCTGGCAAAATCAAATGACTCTTTTTTTATCACTTTTTTTTAAAAAAAGAGGCAGTTTATGTATCTTCTTGGCACATAGTATCACTTTATAGCACAATCAAGTAACTGTTACTTTTAGTTATATAAAAAGACTATATATATATATATATATCAAAAACGACTCTAAAATTGGGCCTCTGTCTCTTTAAGAAGCTCCTGCTCTTTCCAGCACATCTTCACAACAATACTTCTCCATTAAATCATCCACAGCCGCCGTTTGGAGTGTTGGACTGAGAACTAGTTCGTATGATGAGCTCAGCACTATTTGTCACAAAATCATAGCAAGACAAAGGAAGTTAAGAAAAAGAAAGCACAGCTAAAAACAACGGCCTTTTGTGGTGGGACTGTGATGCTGTGATGCACATCAGTGGAACAGAATTTCATGATTATATAAAAGTCGGGTTAAATGCGATCTGACCAACTGACTGCAGGCACTTTGAAAATAATCTGATTTAGTACCACATACAGACAAATCAGATTTTTGGGGTGAGAAAAGATTAGAATCGAACCATTTACTCTTCTGTGAAAAGTTGGATATGGACAAATAATAATAATAATAATACTAAAACAAATCAGATTTGGGTTTTAAATGCCGCCTTAGTTTCATCTGAGCAAAAACTCGATACTTAAAGTCCCAAAAGATTTTAACGATCTCCACTCATTCATGTTGGTGATGGTAGGACAGAAAAAGGTCGAATGAAAAAATATGGCAACACTTTACTTGAATGTTTTCAACCATTGTCATACAGTGTCATTCTGTAAATAATGGCACTTTTAATGTACAGTTGCATTAAAAGTGTCAACTTTGCCATATTTGGTTAATAATGACATAACTTTGCACTAAAAGAGTCATTATTTATCGAATGACAAAGATTTCTGAAGACTCCTTCATGTTTGTTGTTACATCATGTTTATGATCCAGCTGGATAAAGTGTTTCCAAAAAGACAAGCTTTTAGAGCTTTAAACAATCATCCTTCAACTCTACAAGCGACTTTCCCAAAAAGCCCCATCGTCCTCCTCCTCTCTTATCCAGCTGGCTCCTCTTCCTCTCCTCTCATCTCTCACTCCACTAAGCCGAGTCATAAACTGCTCCAGCTGATCCTCGCAGCTACTCAGTCATTTCACTGTTATACTTCTGCAGTTTATGTGGGAGGTGAACCGAGAAGAGACGCAGTGTGTGTTGCTGCATTCACTTTTTCTGTGTCAGAAAACAAAGCGCGCCCGTGTGTTTACACTCGGCAAACCGACCTCGTGGAGTTAATTCACTCCACTGTACGGCGCTCGTCTTTTGTAGGAACAAGAACATTTCTGTGTGTTTTCCAGCAGACTGAGGACTAAAAACTGGAGCTTTGTGTTGCTAAATACTGACTAAATAGACATATGAGCTCAACAACAAAGATATTTATAGTTTTAAATGTTATTTAGGTTATTCAACCATCAGATTAGTATTTAGGAACCTCTGATCATTTATTTAGCTGTTTTAGAATTGTTTAAGACCAAATTTAAGATCTTTTAAGTCAATTATGAATGGGATGTAAAACCTGCATCACTACAGAAATGTACAAATTTTGTCCAGCAAATTGGCAAAAAAAATAAAATAAATCTTCGTAGGTAGCTATATTAGCAGGTAGTTAGCAGTAGCCTCAACCATCTTGAATTACAGAATGCAATGAAGATGATTGAGTCTGACTAAAACTTTCACCTGACAGAAAAAAAAACAGAAAAATATAAATACATATAAAATACAAGGTTAAATAGTTCTGCCAAAACAAAGTTTAAGATGTATGATTAACATATTAAAGATTAACCTACTTTTAAAAATCAATTTAACAAATACGGACACCTTGTTAAAGGTATCAGTCAGGACGTGGATCTCAACATGGAGTTATTTTTAAATGCTTAATGAACATTTTCCCCCACACACAAACCTACAAAATAAGAAATAGGCTATAAGGTTTGACAGCAGACAATGTAGTTGGACGTAGTGTTTGGGACGTCTGTGCTAGATGCTACATATTTAGCATTGAGATGCTATTTTAGCCTTGAATAGATTCGCTGGCAGGCTAACTCTTTTTAGCGCAACTTGAACACAACAACAGTCTTCTCCAGCGTCCAATCAGATCAATTTTAGAAGCAAAATTTAACCCCCCAGTGAACTAAAAGAAGGAACTTTGTCGTCCATCTCTGCTAGCGGACGTAGCTTGTGCGTCAGATTTAAGGCCGTACCAGAAACGTGAGAAAACAAAAGTTCCGGCCGAACAAAAATTTAATTGGTGTTAACATTTTTAACGCTTTAAAAATACATAATTAATGAATTTGTACCAACTATTTGTTGCAGTTAATATAATACAAATTGATTTAAATTTTAAACTAGTAAATATAAAATAGTTACATTTAAAATAAGTAAGGTGTTTTAAAAACATTATTTCAAATAAACAATTTCAACATGTGTATAGGCAGGTTCTGCAAAGTCTGGGGCAAAAACAAAGTAAAAGGTTTTTGACTCCATCCATAAAAAAATAATGCAGTTATGGATGATGGACCAGGAAAAAGTACATGAGATGCTTGACAATTCATATAAAAATCTGATAAAAAAGGACAAACATTATGTAAAACAAGAAGCAGATAAATAAACATCACCAGATCCAAATATATCTGAATAGATTTTTATTTAACTTCAGATTTAGAGCAGTATAAATTGATTCTAACCAAAAAATAATCAAATTTAAATTAAAACTGTCACTTTTCTAATAAAACAACTTTGTGCAGAATAACACCTCAATAATTCTGAGGTTAAAATGCATTTCGATAATCAGTAAAACTAATTGTTGAACTAATTATTTCAATGTTTACAACTGAGATGTTTCATTTGGTTTGACCAAGCAGAGTCTGCAAACCCCAGAGAAAGAGAGCTTTGTGTAAAAGTAAATAGACGAGGGACCACAGAGTGTGAAAGAAAATGAGAGATTTTACAGGCTTGTGTGAAGGGAAAGAAGAGAGAGACACACACAAGTATGAATGCTGCCTGTGTGAAGCAATCTAACACATTAGTAGTGATAAGTGTGTGAAGTACAGATGAGTGAGAGGAGGAGGAGGGAGATGAGACACCTGAGCAGAAACAGGAAGTGATCCTGTGAAAAAAACCTCCAAAATCATGATAAGTGTGTGAATTAGAGAGTGAAAGACACACGCACACACACACACGCAGACAGAGAAGAGGAAATAATCCTTGCATTGTAAACTCATGAATAATGATGCAGACCGCGCTGCCTGCGGGACTGCAATCACTCCGTTTGCATAATGCGTCATCTCAGCTGTCTCCTCGGCGCGCTGCATGCTCATTTGGCTTCAGCGTGACGCTGATTTCTGTCCCACAGCTTCTGGTCCTGCAGCAGCCAATCAGAGCTGATGCACCGGAGTTAAACCACGAGAGGAGCAACAAGATCATTTCTAGTTCTATCGGTGCTTAATCAGGGCTTTCAGCAACTCAAATTTAAGACCTTTTAAGACCACTCTGAATAAAATTTCGTCCAGCCAACTGGCGATGGATTTGCACTAGACCCCAAAAGCTAGCTAGCTAGCAAGAGTATATTAGCAGCTAGTTAGCGAGTCACAGAAAGTACTTTTCTGTCTGAATGCGATAGAAAAATACCACAAGTAAAAATAAATATAGTATACAATATTAAATAGTCCTATAAAGACTAAATTTAAGACCAGTGATTAACACGTTAAAGGCTTTTTAAGATGAATTTAAGACTTTTTAAGGCCTTAATGTTCGATACATGAATATACGACTTTTTAAGGATGTGCAGACACTCTGTTAACGTCTTTCAAAGTATCAGTCAGAATGTGGATCTGAACATAGAGTTATTTTTAAATGCTTAATGAAAAACACGATATCGATCTGATGTCTCGCGCACATAAACCCACAGAAAAAAGCAGGAGGTCATAAAGTTTAACAGACAACGTAGTTGATATTTGACCTGAAAAACATTTCTGTGATTACCTCAAATATCAAATCAACATCAAAAACACTTTTGAAAACAGTTTCATTTTGTCATATAATTTGATGCTTTGCTTGCCGTTTTTATGAAAGTATTTGACAAAATGTAATGTTTATTGCTTGTTTCATGTCTTTTTGATGACGTGAAACAAGCATGTCATCATGCTTGTTGACATGCTTGCTTTTTGATTAATATTTAATCAAAAAAGCTGCCTTTTTGATTAAATATGACACAAATTAACTTGACTTTTGTGCAAAACTTTGGTATCTTTCATGAGAAAACTTATTTTCATCCAACCAGAAATGGTTGGGAAACTGTGCGTCACAAATGGCGCTGCTCTTTGAGAATCTCACACTTTTCTCCCATTAAATACATTTGAATGTGGGAATGTAGCATCATTAACCAGAAATCCAATTTATTGTTCAAGTCTGAGGGGCAAACTTTCCTTTGAGGATTAAAACAGAGGCATAAATAAAGTAAGTATCTTACTTTACATAATTCAGAGTGCAGCAAAGTTCAATCTGATATGTCTCACTGAAAGCGTTAAGACTTTAGGTTCAGCAACATTCATCTTGTGCAGAAATAAAATAATGTGGTGATGACTACATTTTTTTAAGAAATGATCTTTTCTTTGTGACGCAAATGGAGCAGAAACTGTACAATGTAAGGTTGAGGGTGTGATCTGTTGTTTTAGCTCCTGCTCACCTCACAGCTATTGTACCGCAGCTTTTACTGTAATGGAGTCGATAACAGATCAATGACACTATTATCCAAAACAAACCACTTTGCTCATCTAAATTCATCCCACTGACTCTGCTGTTGCCTCTGTCAGCAGCAGCACTCTGCGTCGCTGCTTCCTGTCCGGGTTGCAGCGCTGCCACACCGACGTCTCACTTCGCAAAACCTTCACACGGTTTGAAGAGTTATTTCTCACACAGGTTCAACACTAAAATACTAGAATAATATCCACATCATTATCTGGTAAACTAATTTTTTTATATCTGCAGTTGTCCACTAGAGGGCGCCTGATTATCACCAGGAGATATTAAGGCCAAAGGATGGAAACATTTCACTAAACATGTTTCTGATTCCCAGTTAAAACCATCAGACGTGGGCAGAAACCAGTTACCTTGAGTAACTTTTATGAAAATCTGTACCTCTAGGAATAATCTTAATTTACCATATTTTCTTCTTCTTGAATAATACTTAGAAATAAAGCTGGAGTTACTTTGCTGAATGAAAAGCTTTATAGTTCTGTTATTTTCTATCTGCTGAGACTGTTGATCCATTTAAAGGTCAAGTACTGTCCTAACATTAAATACTTTAAGTACTGGTTTCAAAAGCTTTATATTGTAAGAAAAAAACAATAAAAAGATTTGGAAATGCACTTCTGCCGTAATTTACTATCTTATTATGATATTAAATATTTCTATTTAATTCAAACTTACTTTATTGACTGAAATGTCATTTAATAATTGTGAACAGGTAGCCTGTACTCACGTGGAGAAGGCGTTGTTCTGCCTTTCACAGCGGATCCCCTTGCAGTTGTTCGGTTCTTCTGAAGCCTTGGTCTCGTAGTAGAAGTACAGCTGGTTGAGTCCGTTAGCAAACGCTAACAGAACCTACGCACGAAGATACACAAAAATGCACATTTCCATCTGTTTTCTTCAGCTAAAATCAACTTACAAGTTGATTTTATCAACTTACAAGTTGACTTAAAAAGCTTGTTTTAAGTCAACAATTCCTTAATATTGAATAAAAAGTACTAGTTCCACTGGGGCCGTAACCTAGCAACCCCAGCCAAGCCCAGCCCATCACCTAGCAACCCAGATCTACTTCTACTGGCAGATTATTTCACTTATGACAAGATATTTCCCCCACGTAATAAGTGAAACAATCTGCCAACAGAACTGGTGCTTTTCCATCCATATTAAGGAATTATTTACTTAAAACAAGTTTATATCTGGCTGAAAAGTCATATTTAAGTTAATTTTGTCTTATTTCAAGCTGGACTAAAAATACTTGGTAAGATTTTGTGTTTTTGCAGTGTGCATCCCTGCAGGCTCTTTTTAAGCACAGCTTTGATCTCAAACAGAACAAAAGCAAGCTGCAGTGACGTAGACTTGGAGCCTCAGGCTCACTATGATTGTTTTGGAGCCCACAGGGAGGCGAAGCAGCCCACATGTGAACTGAGTTTTAGGTCAGGAGCTCCCTTGAGAAAGAATTAATAAATCCCAACCGTCGTGACGCAGACCTGCAGCATCTACTAGCTTTAAATTTAAGGATTCAGGATGCATGAATCAAAAGAGATAAAATCTGGGTGTGTAGTGATGAACTCTGATCTGAACCTTCAGAGCCATAAAGTCCCAGTTACAAAGTCGGCCTTCTATCACCTGAAGAACATTTCCAGAATTAGAGAACTGATGTCTCAGCAAGATCTAGAGAAACTCATCAATGCTTTTATCTCTAGTTGATTACTGCAACAGTGTCTTCACAGGTCTGCCTAAAAAATCTGTCAGATCCAGACGCTGCTGCTGGAGTTCTGACTAAAACCAGG